AAACAACTCAGACCGCTTTTTCATTAAAAATAACCAAGTACATCTGGAATAATCATCAATAAAAGTAACAAAGTACTTAAAACCCAAAGTAGAAGAATGACGACTTGGTCCCCAAACCTCGGAGTGGACCACAGAAAAAGGAGAAATAGCTTGACGACTAAGACGACTCGAAAACGTACTACGAGTATGTTTCCCAAACTGACAAGACTCACAATTTAAAGTAGAAAGAGATGATAAATGGGGAACCATCTTCTGAAGCTTTGCAAGACTAGGATGGCCCAGACGAGCATGGATAGTAAGAGGAGAATCCACAGTGGAGCAGGCTGAAGAAGAGGGAACTAGTTGATAGAGGCCCTGAAACTCACATCCTTTGGTAATCTCCTTCCCCGAACTCCGATCCTGAAAGATGACAGAGGTTTTAGTAAAAGAAACAACACAGTCAATGGATTTGGTCAACCGACTAACAGAAAGTAAGTTAAAGGGAGAATCGGGAACATATAGAACATGATCCAGAGATAAATTAGGTAAAAGAAGAACTGTGTCAATCCCCCTTGATTGGACCAGAGACCCATTGGTCATAGTAATAGTGGCAAAAGAACCAGTAGTACAAAGGGAAGTGAATAAGGACTTATTACCAGAAAAGTGATTAGAAGCCCCAGAATCTAGAGTCCAAGGGCCAATAGAGTGCAACTGAGATATGCCAGCAAAAGAATTACCAGAGTTACCAGCGGGAGCAATGGATGCAGTAGGACCTGATGTTTGCTTCTCAGACCACCAAGTCACAAATGCTTTTTCCTGACTCCAAATAGCTTCACAAGTAACAGCAGGTCAAAAAATCTGCTTGATAGACGGATGAAGAGTAGCTTTAACGAGACTACACAACGGAGCATCAATCATCTTACACCGTGTGCGCTCCTTTTTCGCCACTGATTCAGCCTTAGTGGTGAGATGGGATGTATAATTCTGCTCATCCAACCAAAGTCGCAGATCGGAAGACCAAGTGTCATAGTTGGACCCATCTAATTTATCCACACTCAACGGAGCAAGGATATAATTGAAAAAAATAGTAGACTCCGACTTTTGTCCAGCCGGAGTCCCAGAACCAGAAACATTGGAGACATGAGGGTCCATAATAAAAAAGAAATCAGAAAGAATGGATCACAACTAACCGGTAGAAGAGGGATCTGTGCGTCAACGCAAAAAGATGTCAAAACAGAAAAACAAGACCGGATCCAGAATCGTCTCAGCAAGACGAAAAAATCGCAACCAGCCACGGCCGAAACAGAGGCTCCACGCGCCGCCTGTTGGAGGAGGGTGCTGAAACTTGCACGCGCGCGTGAGAGCGCGTGGGTGGTCTTCTGAGGGAGTGGCCGGTGCCGGTGTGATCGCGTTGTCAAGACGATCACGGCGGTAGGCTGCATGCCTGAAAATTCCACCGGACGGTGGTGGTTGACGGTACAGAAGCGTGAAGCGGAAGAAAATCGTTCGAAAACTGACAACGAGACAGTTCCGGAAAATTTTTTGTAAAATACGATGAACAATGGGTTCACCGGAAAAAAAATTCAAACGTTCCTTAGGCTATTGATACCATGTAAAGAACCTTGAGATATTTCTGGAACTGTCTATATACATACAAAAATTTTGATAATTGTTTGAGCATTTTGAGTGAAAATTTACAATTGCAAACTACATCTTCAAATTCAAACACTCAGACAATATTCATTGTTTCATTACTCAATAGTTCATTTTCCTGTTGTGGATTTGATGGAGGTGGGCTACTTCCTCTCAAGTTGCCTTCATGTGGCTGAGAACTACCAACTGCTGCAGGGCCTTCTTGACTTAATGAGATTTCATCTACTAAGCTGGATCCAATCCTTACATTCATTGCATTTTCTGGTCTTGCTTGTATCTTCCCTTTGTTGGTAGTTGGTGGTCCCTTACATGTCTTTGCATAGTGTCCAGTCTGACCACATTTAGGACACTTGTCCAGTCTAACTAGGGATGGCAAAAATGAGCCAACCCGTCGGGTTGGCTCGTAACCCGCACAAAACGAGCCGGGTTGGGTTGGCAAAAATGAGCTGCCAGCTCGATTTAGCCCGACCCGAGCCAACCCGAGCTCAAACGAGCCAGCTCGCGGGTTGAACGAGCCAGCTCGCGGGTTACTCTTTTTTTTTTTTTTTTAATAAAATACAATGGACTTTACTGATGGATTCTCCACTGATGGACTTTACTATATTGGTCGCTTTTGCAGGTCCTTTTTTTTCATGATTGGCTTTTGATTTTAGATGCTTATCGTTGAAATATATAATGGATTTCTTTTATTTTTTATTTTTTGGCTTTATATACGTTTTATGGTTATCGTGAGTTAGAGTAATTCAGAAAATCATGATAAATGACTCCTGTGATTAGTGGAATGGTTTGTGTTTCATTTAATGTTTTTGGATTTTGTAAACTACTCTACTTGTAGTTGGACTGCAAAATACAATAATTTTATACAGGAGAACAAACCACAAAAATTAAAGTTTTTGAGCCAACCCGCGAGACAACCAGCGAGTCAATATTTTGAGCTAACCAACCCGCGAGCCAACCCACTAGCATCATTTCGAGCTAACTCGCGAGCTTTTTTTGAGCCAACCCGTGAGCTTTTTTACGAGCCAACCCGCGAGCTAATTATCGAGCCAACCTGCGAGCCAACCCTAACCCGGCTCGGGTCGAGCCGGGTTGGGTTTTCTGGCTCATTTTATTTTTCGAGCCAACCCGACCCGACTCATTTTTTTCGGGCTGAATGCGGGTTGGGTCGGGTCGAGCCGGGTTGGCCCGTTTTGCCAACCCTAAGTCTAACCACAAACCACGATGAGCAAGTGTTTCATAAAAGGGCAGATTACACATGTATACCTTGAAATTAGGGCACCCAAAGAAAGCCATGTTTGGATTTCTCTCAGTTTTGGAGGTATAGACGATACTTTGTCTCCCACATTTGCACCTACGACCGGCGGTCCTTGTTAGTGTTCTTCCCCCTATTGAAGTACTCTCACTTGATCCCCCCATTGCAGAAGAAAGACTCATCTTCTCCTACGCCCCAGCAAATTTGGTAGAGGTCTTCTACTGTCGTCGATTCTCAGTCATCAACGTCCGGAGAATTTGGGGGATTTTTCTGTTTAGGGTTCATTTGAGCAATTTGGGGGATTTAGGGTTCCCACTTTACCATGGAGATGCATGCCATTCACAAAATGTCGTCGTCTCGTCTTTCACGATGTACCACATTCAAGCCGTGTCAACTGTGCACCGTTAGGTGGGAGTTAACATAAGGAAGAACATGGCCTCTTTTTTGTTATTTCAGGGATCAATTTGTCCCTTTTTTTATTACTAGAGACTGAAAAAGGCTGCATGAATATTGTCAAAGACTAAAAAAAGATATTTACTTAAAGTTTTAATAGAGTTGTGCTTTTAGGAATTCGAACTCAAAACCATTTATTAAACTAGAATAATTCCTTATCAATTTATCTACGTTTCTCATTTATGATCTGTATCACAAAATTCAAACTAGTTTTATACTACATGAGTCAAACATTGACACCTACCCTATTGTGCATAGTTTGTTCTCATAAAAGCACCAAGTTGCAGAAGTATAACAAGGGGAGACAGCTAATCAAGTGGGTCAACTTGTACTAATTGCACGCGGGACCTTTCAATTGAATGTGTTTATAAATTAGTTACAATAATTGGACGTGGGGTCTTCCCTTTATCCATTTTCTTCAATATAAGTTGCATGCACATAGTGGCAACTTGGAAACACAGTTTCTATCATAAAAAAAAGTTCTAAATTCAATTAGAGATATTTATTTTACTTAGTTTTAAAATACTAACAATTAGAAAAGTTATACTTTTTAATTCAATACTTTATTAAAGTGAGAGATAAGATAAAAGATTTAAATCCCAACATTTATAGTTCCAATCATATAATTAGTATTTTAATTATTAATTTGTTATAATTAAACTCAAAATAGTCAAAAAAAAAATTAATTCGCTCTAATCCTAGTAGAACTCGAGCCAATGATACAACAACCGTGGCCAGAATGATCTCAAAGGCTGAATGTGTGTGGAGACAATAGAGGTCGGGTATCACTTTAGGGTAAACGAATTAACGAGTTCAAATAATCTTACTGAAGCACTTGTGGCTATAGCTACATCATTATATACGTAACGCTGTAAAAAATATATAAAGATGTAAATTATCATAATTGGGCCCTAACTGATATACAGGTCTGCCCCAAAAAGAATTCCTCAAGTGTAAGGTAAACCAATATCAAATCTTTTGAGCCCAAACCAAAATGAGCATGGGGTTTTATGACATTTCCTCCTTTTGCACTCGGGCCGTTAGGGTTAAATGCTTAAGATCAGGACACGGAACCTAAAAGAAGAACATTGCATAAAAACTTGAATGTTTAGGGTTTTTTAAAGTAAGAAGCATTTTTTTTCACTAACAAATATGTTTAAATAATTTTAAGATAATCAAATAAAATTTAAAAATAGTTTTAGTATTTTTCTCATAATATAAAAAGAATAACTTCTACAAAAAAGAGTGGGGGGGGGGGGGGGGGGGGGGGGGGATTATCATTGAAGCGATTCTACATACTATCTTAAAATAATAATAATAATAATAATAAAAATAATAAGAACAAATATTTATCCTTTTAAATAATATAACTTTATGTTTTTTTAGATCCTAACTATTGATTTTCGTCAATAAACAATTATAATTTATTGAGTCAAACTTATTAGTTAATAAAAATTCGCGATAAATTATAACCGTTGATTGACGAAAATCAACGATTAGGATCTAAAATGACACGAAGTTATATCCTTTAAAAGTACAAACGTTTCCCCCTAAAAATAATAATAATAATAATAATAATAACCGTCCTCTGTAATTTTATTATCCAGAGAAGAAACGGTGAGTAACTGAGTATAGTTGTGCAATTTTATTGACAAAACTACGTATCAAATGAATACCAATTTTATCCGCCAAATCCTCTCATCATTGTTAAGATTACCGGTCTCAGACAGGATTAGAATTAAATAAACAATGAAAAAGAACAAGTAAATACTGAAGGAGATTTCAGTACAAATAACAATGATTTAAGGATTAAACATATCACTGAAGGAGAAGTCATTTGACTCCTACTGCCAGTCCTTTCTGATATCAAAAGCGTAGTTGATCTCCAAGTAGCACTTGTTGTCATCATCAACAAACTGAAAAACAAGAAACAAAATAGCAAGTCAAGTAGTTTACAGTAATCCATATGTAAAGACTTTGTTACAACCAGCAGTTTCTACAAGAATTAATGACTTGTGAGAAAAAAGTGATTCAGAAATTTGAATTTTAAACAAGTGGTTGAAGGTGTGCACATGAAATCTGGCACCAAATTCATGAGAACATTTATTGGAAGGCTGATAGATGCAAAATAGGCATTAATTCAGCTTCACTTGATTTCCATAACATGTCATACCAATTTCATGAGAACATTTATGGGTGGGCTGAAAGAAGAAAAATAAGCAGTAATTCAGCTTCACTTGATTTCAATTTTTTTTTTTCATACTATCATTATGAAAGCAGATTAGAGTCTAGTTTAGGATTAACTTTTTTCCTTAAACCATTCGCTCGTGAAACTCATGAAGGTAGCTGGTAATTGCAGGCAAGCTTAGGCCTCCAACTTTCATAGTTTTTCAAATAATGTTTCATGAAAAGTATGGAAATAGTAAATGCATAAAAGTTTCCAATTTTAGACCTTGTCTTAACTCATTGTCAAACAGTATTTGGCGAGTACAATCTCTTCAATCATATGTTAAAATTACCTTACTTCTAGCTGAATATGTCCCTCTAGCAAACATCCCAGATGGTGTTGTCTCTTCAGGCATCTCATGTGTGTAATGCTCTGTTTGGGGGCTGAAGGTTCCAATCATCTCTTTGCTGCTGTCAACTGTAACAAGGCTTAACACTGAGACAAGTTTATGGACAAATTATCTGTTTGGCATAATTTGATTGAGAGTGATAGAACTTACCTTTGATACCAGTTTTCCACACAGTATTGGTGTATTTGAGACCTGAAACGATGTTGTGGCTGACCTCAAAAGTGAACATCAACCTGTAACGGCTACCTTCTTTCAAAGTAAACCACGAACCCTTGACATTTCCTCCCTCCGGTATTGGAAGAACAATATCAGGTCTACCAGGGGACTTGATTGCAAGGCTAAGGATCTTCACTTCTGGCTCCAGAGTTTCTAAATTATTCAGAATACATATGACAAGTTAGGTCAAGGTCTGATAAAAAGTTCTAAAGCAAAAGGATTTTCATGAGTGCTAGTTACAGGACAGGGAACACTGGAACAAATTACTGATTCAATTGCTAGTTGGAATTCACAAAATGAAATGATGTTACGAATATTGCGAATTTAAATTTCATCAATTATCTGGATAAACCATTGAAACAGCATAATTAAAATTAAAAAATCAGCAACATTAGGGTGTTGATACATTTGCAATTACCATATAATGTTAAAGAATCTTTTAAAATAGTAACAGTATCAATGATAACAATTGAAATTGACATAACCAGACCTCAAAAAGATGAAACAGATTCTTGGATTTCTTTTTCTTTTTTAAAATCCATAATATTTTTATGACAGTGATTCAAGATCTTCGAATAACTCACTGTATAAATTGAATTGGAGCTGATTGTGGAACCATCTATGCAGAAGCTCATACTAATGCAACACTTCAGATTAACAGATATAACAAAATTACAGAGAGAGAATAAGATAACATGAACAAACAGAAATTGAAAACAGAAACCACCAATCTGACATAAAATGGAAGCAATTACCTCCAACAGAATTCATGTCAACACTTCCAAGAAGCTGCTCCTTCCATCTCCTCAAGCTTTCATCATCCTAAGCAGGAACCAACACAAACACACAAAAATGAGACATTGGTGAAAAGGCATAGTTTTTTTTTTTTTTTTTTTTCTGAAATAGCAAAGACAAGAAGACAAAGCAACCTTATCCTTTTCGAGTTGCTCCTTTAATGTGCACTGAGGGCCCAATTCAATCTTCCTATCCTCATCATCATCTTCATCCTCGGTTGCAGCAATGGAACTTTCACTCCTGTATCTGCTAAGGGTCCCTCCCCCTTCGTCGCCACTTTCTTCATCAGTAGCAGTTTTTACAACCCGAGAGGTATCCTCTGCACCCTCATTGTCTTTGAATTTGTCATCAAAACCCATGCTTTCAGAATTCGAAACCACTCCAATGGCCAGAGACATCAACAACCCATCAACACAGAGAAAAAGACACAAATAGAAGCCAAAAACCCACTTGGTAGAGAATCTTCCGCACAACGAGAATGACAAAAGAAAAAGGCTACCTTGGTTTAGAAAAAAAAAAAAAAGATATGTTTTTTATGAGGGCTTGAAAGAAAGAAAGAAAAAGAAAGAAGTGGGTCAAAGAATCCCACAAAGGTGAAACCGGATGGAATAGGAAAATGAGATAGCTATTGCAGTTAGAAAAGACGCCAAGAAGGCAGAGAGAGAGAGAGAGAGAGAGTAGTTGTTGTCGTTTTTTTTTTTTCTTGAGAACAAGGAAACGGTCATGTGGTGATCCGAAAGAGAGAAAATTTCAACGAGAAAACATGGAAAGAGAGAGAGTGTTAGCGGGGCGAGGAGATCGTGAATGTCACTCTCTTGCAAGCACTACCTTCCACGAACACCAAGAATCGAGGAAAGCTGACGTGTGCAAAATATAATAGATAATTTTGATGGGAGGATTATATTTATGAATTTTTTGTTTATAATTTTTTACAAATTATGTTATATATTCTTGGAAATACACTGAGTTATATTATGTATTTTTAGGAGTATATAATGTACTTTATAAAAATTTATTAAAAAAAATTATAAACGAATTATTTTTCATATTGACATATAGTAAGAAATAAAAACACTTGAAAAAATAAAAACTTAATTATGATATACATTCCAAGGGTGACAATATGGATTGGCTAACTCGACCCATCTTTATCCTGCCAAAAATGAGGAAAAGCGGGTTGGTCCGCAGTTGAATATAGATTACAAAAAAGAACATATTCCATTTTATGGTGGATTGACGAGTCAACCCACCAATCCGTCCATTAAAAAAATAATGATTAAAATTTAAAAATAAATTATATTTTATGAAATTTATAATATTATATTATGTTATTTCACACTTCTTGTAATTTTTGTAGTCTCAATCTTAAATGTATATTACTATTCAGTTAAATATTCTTTAGGAACTTATTTGTCTCCATATATAGATAACATTTGTCATAAATAACATTTTTATTTTTTATTTTTCTAGGGAAACTTAATGACAAATGAAATGCTACTTAATTATAAAAATAAAAAAAAAAAAAAAATTATAACTCTGAGGGTCAACCTGCCCTGTAACAGGTTGAACCTGTTTTGATCCACTTTTAAGCTGGGATGGGTTGAAATGGGTTGGTGGATAGAAAACCTCAACCTAACCCGTCCCGTTTTGGCGGGTTGATCCGCCGAGCTCAACTCATATTGTCACCTCTACACAAAACCTTTTAACATATGAGATGTCAAAATTAAGAACATAAAATATATAAAAATATATGAATCTAATTTTAATCCGTGATTAATTAAAAAAATAGAATTATATATTATCCTATTATTTAATAAATTCAATATATCATGTATGTTTCTAATATAGTCTAATTTGATAAATGAATTTTTCAATACGCGGTTAGTTGATAATTAAATATGTAAAATTAATTTTAATGCATTAACTTATTTAATGAGTTTAATTATGTTAATGACTGAATATGATGCCAAACTCATTATATGTTGTAACTTAGCAAAAATGTAAATAAAGAAGCAAACAGGTGGAAGTTGGTATCTACGCTCGTGCTCATTTCATTGAAATGTCGCCCATAAATAGCTACTAAATTATAAATTAATTTGAATTGGCGACAACATGTAACCAACTCATAAGATTGTAGCTCTTGATAGAATGCAATCATATCCTATAAAATTAAATTCAAAATTATGGACATAAATATGCACAAATCCTATCTGCTCTAAATTACATTAAATTATAAATCAAAATGCTGCTATAAATTACATTAAATTATAAATCAAAACGCAATGCTCCAAATTAAATTATGAATTCAAAATTCAAAATATGTGACAACAACAACCTCTAATACTCTCGCTCAAGTTGGAGCATGTAAGGATGAAATGCCCAACTTGGGAAGGAAACCATTGAAGGCCGAGTGTCCAAGGGCTTTTGTGAACAAATCACCTAGCTGAGACTGAGGACGAACATGTGTTGTAGCAATATGACCTGCGGAAATATGATCTCGAACAAAATGATAGTTAAGCGCAATATGTTTAATTCACTCGTGAAACACTGGATTAGCAGCAATGTGAAGTGCTACTTGATTATCACATAGGAGATCCATAATACCAGAATTATTAACTTCAAGGCTTGAGAGAAATCCTTTAAGCCAAATCAACTCTGAAGTAACTGCAGCCATGGCCTTGTATTCGGCCTCTGTGAAGAACAAGCTAGTTTCTTTGTTATCCAAGACACGGGAGAATAACCAAGCATGACAAAATAACTCGTAACAGACCGTAGTGTAAGGGGAGATGATGCCCAGTCCGAATCACAATAATCATGTAACTTTAAATCACAAATTGAAGGCAACAAAACACTCTACCTATGACTCCTGTTTATGTAACGCAAAATATGAGTAACCGCATGAAAATGTGCCTCACGTGGCGCCATCATGAACTGTGATAAAACATGAATCGTATAGTTCAAATAAAGCATGGGATGGTCAAATATATAAGTTTACCAATAAGCCGTCGATAACGTTCTGGTTGGTCAAACAATGGTCCATCATCAAAAGCTAAACCTATGATTTTCTTCTATTTAAGTAACTGTTGGTTTGCTCCCACTCAAGCCTGCCTCGACGATAATGCTTAATGTGTACTTCTATTGACACGAGAAAATACCCTCATAACTCTGGGCAACCTCTATTCCTAGAAAATACTTCAACGACCCCATATCCTTGATCTTGAAGCAAGTGTTAAGATAATTTTTAACCTGCATACAAGTTGCGGTTTGTTCCCAGCTAAGATTATGCCATCCACATACATACAAAGAGCTAAGAATACATCACCACGAGAAAAGGAAAACAATGTATAATCAGCCTTGGATTGTTCAAAATCATATTCTAGAAATAAAGAATAGAGATTAGAAAACCAATTGCGCGGAGATTATTTTAAACCATATAACGACTTCTGAAGATGACACACCTGATGAGAAGAACCAGTGGATGGTCGAAAACCTGGAAGAAAGAACATATAGACTTCTTCCTCCAAATCTCCATTTAAAAATGCATTATATACATCTAATTGATGCACTTTCCATTTCTTTGCTAATGCAATAACAAGCAACGTTCGTACACTAACCATTTTGGCAACAGGTGCACCATAATCTTCTCCTTCAACATGTTTATTTCCTGTAATAACAAGAAGAGTCTTATACCACTCGATCGAACCATTTGCATTATATTTTATTTTGAAAACCCATTTACTGGGCAAGGCATGCTTTTGAAAACCCTTTATAAGGACCCCATGTGTCGCAGTGAATAAGATCAAAACATGCTCTACTATTACTGAAACTCAAAGGAAACATACTTCGAACTTGTTTGGCTTGATAACAAATATCATACGCCTTATTTTGATTCTTTTTATTCATGCTACTAGAAAAAAAAGTAGAGAAACAACTTCATGTGATGTATGTCCCAATCGTCTATGTCATACTTCTTTGGTTTCCCTAGTGCGATTAGAAGCAACAGATGATTGTGCAGAGTGAAATACATATACCCTGCTCGATTGTCACATACTTCAATCATCTGGCTCAGCATATGGTCCTGCAATACACAACCCTTGTCAGAAAAGATCACACTATTGTTTGTCCCGTAATTGTGGCATATATAAAACATCATGCAAAATAAAAGATGAATCAAGAATCACATTCCCACGTTACTCTGCTATAACCATAGTACCATAGGGAAAACTCATGGACAAAGGTGATATAGGCCTCATGTCTTGCATCAATTCTTTCGGACCTGTCATATGTTGTGAAGCTCCACTGTCTACAAGCCATTGAAAATTAACAGACTTTCCTCGAGTTTGTCATTAGATTGAGGTGGATCAACTAAAGCAACCAACATTGTAACAAGTTCAGGTGTGAGCATAGTATAAGCACTGGTTTGCTGAGGTTCTCCCACTGTTTGAATAACGCGAACTTGTTGTGTCTCACCACTTGTTTGCACGGCTCGAGCTTGTTCGTAGTTAGAACGACCCCCTGATGAATGATCTATGCCTCTTCCATGACTACCTCCTCTGTTAGAAGGATACCCAATGATTGTCCAACATCTATAAGGATCATGATTAGTTTTCTTACAATGACGACATGTGATTCATTCATGATCTGCTTGCTATTGTGGTACCATCCTCTGATTGTTTCCTGCCAGAGAAGTTACATTAGTATAAAAAACATAGCTAACCAACTCAACTCTCGCATCCTTCTTCCTGGACATATCTCGATGTGTCTCCTCCTAAACGACAACTGCATAGGCTTGATTAAAATTGGGAAAGGTAGGATATTTGAGAATCTTAATCATTAACACACTAAATTGATTATCATCCAACCCATAAAGAATTGGTAAACCTTTTCCTTTTCAGCTTCATCACTATTGTAAACTATGACGACATATTTGGCTCTACACATACAAGAAGGTTGGTTTTGCTTGCATTTATCTCATCCCAAATAGCCCTCAGAGGTGTGTAGTAGGTGCTAACATTGATTCTATCTTACCTGATATTAGCAAGACTAGTGCAGAGTTGATATAGTCGTGGTATATTCGCAACTGAATTTTGCTCTTTCAGGTCTTCCAAAAGTTCCTTTGTCGTGTCTAAATAATGAATATAAGGCTGCAATTGCGGATCAATTGTATTGCATACCCAACTATTAAGCATTGAATTGCATTGTGTTCAAGCAAAAGACTCATCGGCCTTACTTTCTAGAGATTTTTTCACAACACCACTAATAAATCCTAGTTTGCTCTTGGCTTTGAGGGCGTTTTTCATGGCCTTAGCCCATGTATCATAATTTGTTTCTCCCTTGAGCACCATGTTGGTTAACAGAACACCTGATCCATCTACATTGGTCATATAGTAGGGTGATCGTTGGTCAAAAATTACCACCTTTTTTGCGGTGCTGGTCCCTTGCGAGTTTGCGTCGGGCTTGGCTTTGCTCCTTACTTAGAGTTGTTAGCGGAAGTCTATCTCTGATACTAAGATGAAAGTTGGTATTTAGACTCTTGCTCATTTCATTGAATTGTTGCCCATAAATAGGCTCCTGAATTACAAAATACAAATTAATTTGAATTGACGACAACCTATAACCAACTCATAAGATTGTAGCTCCTAGCAAAACGCAATCAGCTCCTATTACATTAAATTCAAAATTCAAAATGGACATAAATATGCACAAATCCTATCTGCTTTAAA